ATAAAGTGTTAATGAGCAGTTGGACAGGTGTACCTAATAAAGTGGCCGGTGAGTGTATATCTATGTTCCATGTTAGAAAAGCTAACAGTAAACTAGCTCCACAGGTGGCTCTGTATAAGAAAGAATTAGTTAAGCATACGAGCCATGAGCCAGTTCTCATGTCAAAAAGAGTAAGGCACACTCCCAGTAAAAGCTGAGGCCATAGCTATGTCTTGGAGAGAAACAGGACTAAGCCCTGAAAAACAGGCTTAACTTTGTCATCTATAACTGAAGGTGTTGTTGGCGGCAGCCCAATTGATGTTTCCATCCAGGATGATCTCAAAAGGCCAAACAAAACAAGGCCAGATGAATCTTTTATGACAAGAAAAAAACAGACAACATAAAGTCAGGGTTTAAACTAACAAAATTTCAGAATGAGAGAATAAAGAATGAATGAAGCAGAATGATGAAAAGAGGTCCCTATGTCCTCCAGCATTCTAAGTCTATACCAGCATAATAATAGAGCTAACTCAGGACCACCTACAATTATAGAGCTCTCGCCAACGAATCTGAGCATGTTGGCCGATACACTCAGATTAATGCCATGGCTAATAGAAAAGGAGCAGTGATCCCTTTGTGACATCTGGGCTTCCTGCCTAGCGAATTTTAGCACACTAACAGCAGTGGAAACTGTGTTTTTACCTCCTTATCTACCTCCTTATTTCAACATATACATGTGAGATGCGTCGTGAAAAAGTGAACCTTGCAACCTTACGAATGTCATTGTCTCACCAAGGCATGCAAACTCCCTGCCACCTCAGTTAGGGCGGCATTGAGTTTGCCCGCGCTCAGGTGAGAACCTTGATTAAGCTTTATCACAAAGGAAAGTTTTAAGCCTTGCCTTAAAAGTACACAGGGCAGTTGGTTCTACAGGACAGGAGCCCAATAACTAGAGGTCTTTTAGTGTTGGTATAAATCTATACTGCTTTTTATAGTTTTCTTTAAAAAAACAATGAAATAATCCCTCCAAACTGCTTTTATCTCCCTCAGAATATTTTACATTACTGGCATCAAATTTTGTCTGAGTGAAAACGCATTTTGTCTGATCTGAAGCAACCAGAAGCCGTATGATTAATAGGAATTTTAACAGTTGTCGTTCATTTTCTACAGTTTAGTTTCAGTTTTGTTCCCTCTTTTAAAACTTTGAGTAAAACCACCTGCTTCGCTCATCATGAAATTTATTTATGTCGACAGCTTTGAGTTCAGCAACCAGCGAGCTTTCTGTCTGTGCAGGATCAGACAAAAAAATAAAAAAAGAAAGAAAGAAACAACAGCACACATCTGGATTTTCCATCTGATATTTCTGTGTTTTGATAAAGCAGTCTGGAAGACATTAGGAGGTAATTCGTCAGCCCGGCCTCTGACACCTCTGAGCCTACCGACTGTGCCCTCTTCCGCCTGTGACCCTATCTGACCTCTGCATCTCACTGGTTTCTTTTTAATTGCAGCACGTGGGTTGTGATCGGGTGCTGGGCTCGGACGTACGGGAGGATCGCTGTCGGATCTGTGGGGGTGACGGCAGCAGCTGCATCTCTGTGGAGGGAGTCTTCAACGACTCGCTGCCTGAAGGAGGTAGAAACCAAAACACATCCTGGCGTTATCACCTTTTTCTTTTGTGGTCAGGTAGTGTAATGCAAACAACCCAGGGCGTGATCTGGACTGGAGTCAAATGGTAGAAAGTGTTTGAGTTGAATTTTAACTTTTCAGCTCTGTTCATCCTTCCAGAGATTAGACACGGCCAACAGGAAGCATTCACTATTGGAAGGTATGCAGTACAGTCTGTAGTTGAAGCAAAATGCACATTTTGGCTTTTACTACCCTGGGTCAAAAGAGCTTCCTGGAAAAATAGCTTTTTGGAACATCAGCAGTTGAAAATATACTTTCAATAAAAAATGTATTCATAGAATACCCGCTCTAACCTAGTTTAACTTTTAATCAACATCAAGGATTTTATAGGGTCTACATTTCTTCTCATATTCTAATATTAATTTTATTTTATTTACTATTAAACGACAATGTCTAATAATATAACAGTAGAAATAAAAAAAAAAATCATAGTTCAACAAAAGGCTATGTTTCATCTTCAGTCCTTAGCCAGATGTAAAAAGGCACAGTAAAAAGGTGTAGAGCTAATCAATACATGGTGAGAATAATTATAAGCATGCACTTAACAGCAGCAGTAACGGAACAATAGGAAGAACAATGACGTTATAAAGATTTGCAGGATCAAGGGTTAAGAGTAATTCATAAAGGTTCATTAAAAACATCCACAACTTTGAATAAAGCAATAGAATTTTTAGTAGGAGACACTAGAAAACTGTTACCGTACATGAAGAACAAAAAGAACCAAAAACCCAAAACAGGTAAGCTACTGACCTAAGCTTGCTTTAAAATCAGTCGGATGGGTGGATATCTAACAGCCTAGACTATTTCTCTATGAGAAGTTCATAGAGAAGTGGAACATATCAAGATTGTAAGTCTTTATTTCTGTTTATTTTATTCTTTTTGATCCATTTCCAATAAAAACACAACATTAAACACTTTAGCTGCAATCCAGAGTAAGCTCTGAAATAAATTCCTGCATACCCTGTTTCTTTTGTTTTGTTTCAGAAAGTTAGGCAGTCATTTCACTGAGTAAAATTGTGTCAACAAATTACCCTGTGACACAACTCTGCTACTGCGCAGGGTTATTTGGAGGAACCCTACTTTTTAGCCAAGATCTGCAGAAGGAATTATTATTATCCTTTTCCACTCTTCTCCATTGGGAGAGGGTGATTAGAATGAAATTAGATATTTTATCTTTTCCAAATATCTCTTCTTAACATGAACTTCAGCAGGAACTTTCCTGTTGCTACCACACACAATATGAAATATCATCTGTATGAAGATGATGTGCTACACATGAAATATGTTGCAAAATCCCTTCATTATTGCTGCCACTTATGTGGCATGTAGATACATATTTAATGCACACAGAACGTTATGGGGCATTTCTGTTATTTTTGACCCCTAATTCAAATTGAGGGTGTTTCTCTCACATTTATTGGCAAACATTATGTTTAAAAGTTTAATTTATATATATTTTTTTTAAATCTATTTTTACATCCTATATCTTTCTATTAATCCCACATTTATTTCTAAATCTTACATCTAATAAATAGCTTATTAGATATAATAATATCCAAATATATATATTTTATATATATATATATATATATTTAATGTTAACTCTTAATTTTAAATCTCAGACTTTGATACTGTATCTGTTAAACTAAATATGGCAATTAACTATTCCTTCAGAAAACAGCTCAGTTTGTGGCTAGTTGTCCAAGGCGTAGGAACAGAAGAAAAAAGGAGGCATCCTTTGACTCCATCCGCCTTTCCTTCTTATTCCCTACGTCCTGGGGGCGTGGCTATTAGAGGCCTATGTTTAACCATGGAGAATCACATTATCGATGTTCCATTGATGACAACTTCTTATATTCTTTAACTTGTGCCAAATACAGAGTTGATTAAATGCAGATTTTTTATTATTTTTTTTATTTATATCACCTGTTCTGAAACTCAAAAGTCTGAGTAGGGAGGAGAGGGGTGGAACAACTGGGAGTATCGGTTCACTTCTCAGGTTAGGACGGCCATTCTCTCAGAAAATACATCAGACCATTAATTAACTAAAAATGTTAAATAGAAATGCTGGCTTGAAGGACAGTTTTATTTCTATTTTAATTTGTCCATTTAACAGACAAAGGAGCCTCATCAGAGCGTATTTATTTAATATTTCTGCATTTTTGCATAAATATACATTGCTATTTTGTTTAAAATCGTTAACCATTGAAACATTTCCTGCAGCAGCTCTTTATTCAGATAACTTATTGCAGACTAACCGGTTTAGGTGGCATTAAGTTGGACAGACAACACAGATCTCATGCGTCCAGCTAAGCAGTGGCTTGTATAACATTAGCTCCTGTGAGAGTAAGTTGATAGATAGAGATGGAGGACTCACCATAACTCACTTAGCTCCCCCCCTTTCTACATATTTAAATATGGTGAAACATCTATATGTTTACTCTAGAAAATGCTCCATCATCTCTCTCCCCTTCTTTTCCTAAGCATGAAGGAACAAAGGTGACAAAGAAAGGATCTTGGATCAATGTGTGAGACCCAGATAGCACAACAGCTTTGAAAAAGTTTTGACCAATCAGCTTATTGCCATTTCATTTCTGAGGAAGATGTTGTGTCACATATGCTGGTGAAGATTCTCAGTCATCCAGGTCCTTGTCTTTCCAAAAAAAGAAAGTTAAAAACAATCCACTGGACTTTCTTTCCAAGTTTGAAGACGTTTTGCTTCCCATCCAGGAAGCTTTTTCAATTCAAAATGTCAGGAATAGGGGTGAGTTTGAGGTTTAATACAGTAGCCCATCAAAACCTTGTTTTTGTTTTGAAAGCATGCAAATTGAAACGGACGAAGGGGTCCATTGCTTTGGAATGGAGATCGTTTTGCTTCTGTTGTTAGCCTGCAATACCCCATACCTGTCTAAGTGTCTGTAAGGGGGGTTTATTAAAGATAATTGTTGGCCTGGCTGAAAATACGAGGGTTGATTGTTTTTGATTTTCTTTTTATGGAATGTTGTGTCACAGTTTGTTTCAGCCTCAGCATCCAAGACGATCTACAGAGTCATAAGCTAAAGGCTAAACTTCTTTAAGTTTGAACACTCCTTTCATCATTATGGTGTCGTTAATCTCCTTTTGAGTTTCTTTTATCAGAGAAAAGTGCTTCAGAAGTGACAGCTGAATATTGTTGCTGACCTTTCCATCTCTTTATGACCAGAGTGCACCGGTCCTCTGATGGCTACTTCCAGCAGGATAACACACCATGTTTTAAAGAGCAAATCATCTCAGACTGGTTTATTGAACATGAGAATGAGTTCACTGTACTTATATGGCCTCCACAGTCACTAGATCTCAGTCCACAGCGCACCTTTGCATCTACTCTATAAAAACAACATGGCTTTGCAAAGCTAAACTGCAAGACATCTGGTCGATCATAAACCTTCTGTTTAGCAAGATGTTCTAAAATGTAGTGTGAGGAAAACTGTCAGCTTCAGCTTGGTCTAAACTGGGTCATCAATACAACTGTAATCCTAAATTCAGCAGCAAATATGCAACATATCTGAGAAAAAAAAACACATAACAAAACAAAGCAGTGGCTCAGTTTAAGTCTAGACCTCAGTCTAGCTGTCAAATGGATATCATTACCTAAACCGAGCTTGTAAACAAGAGTGTTTGAAGATCCTCCACAACTATATAAGAGACTATGAGGACATCTACTAAGTTTAAGTCATCAGCAAAATGACTTGGTGCTCAAATTGTCCAACTATATACTGAAAAGTCTTTTAGCTTTTTAAAAAAGCTTTAAATGTTTTGTTTTGTCGAAATTAGCCTAAACCTCAACTAAAGTGAGTTTAGATCAAACAACAGCTATAACGAAAATACTTTGGGTCAAAATGACACAGCACAAAGTGTCTTCTCATCAACCAAACTTAAACTCCAGGCAGAGGACAGGGGACTGCCTCTGGTTCCACCTAGGATTTATAACTGGGAGAATCGCTCAGTCATGTCTACAGCCAGCTTTTGACTTCTCTAGACTCCAAAAAGGCCTTCAGCCAACACTTCTCCTCTACTGTCTGCTTCGGTGATTTAAAGGATCCCTCTGGATTTTTTGACCTGCAGCAGAGCTTTGGGGGCACTTTTTATATGTGTGGCTTTCCATTTGGTTCACCTCACACATGTACATTTTGAGTCGCAGGCACTATGATATCCTATTTTTCAATTTGCTTTGCAGCAGAAATGCAAGGAAGTAAATATATATGTACAAACAAACTTACACATTAAGTTTCAGTGTGTATTAAGCACTAAGGTGATCATATGTGAGAAATAAAGGCAAAATGCAGTAGAAAACTGTGCATCAAAATTCAGGAATGTCTGTGCATTTTCTTTACTCTATTATTAACATACCAAGCGATAACATTATCCATATAGAGAGAGTTTTATGACCACAGAATGAGGCCAAACCGCTGCGCCTGCACTGTATAGCTAAGAAAAATGACATGAATGTGTGCTGGATTTCAGCCTGTTTGAGAAAATAAAGAGATCTCCTAACACTGCTGTATTATCTGTGCTCCAATCTTTGCACTGATACATTAATGTCGACTAAGGGTTTCTCTCCATTTCTCAAAATCTGTCACTCAAGCAGGAGGTGAGAGGTTACTTAATTACTGTAAACAGATTTTTCTCTCAGAACTTTTCTCTGACACTTTTAGACAATGTCTTGTGTCCAAAAACCTCTTGAGCTCCAAAGGGTGGAATCAGAAAACTGCCACTGGAAGGCGTTAGATTGTAGTTCAGCTTTTTTTATTCTGTCACCGTCCAGCGAGTTCGAGTTATTTATGGGGCTTCAGCACCTGGTCTTCAGGCTGGACGGCAGAGCTAAGCTGAAAAAGGCAGAGTGAGGCAAGATTCGAGGTGAGATGATTAAAAAGAAGAAAGAAAAAAAAAACATGGAGGAAAGACAGATGGTGTGACTGGAGAGAAAATTCTGTTCAGTTTATTTATATTTCTCATGTCATGTCAAGGCTCTTTACAGAGACAATTTAACCAGATCATACAGTCAGATTGGTTCAAAGTTTTCTGTCTAAAGACAACCAGCTGATTGCACTGAATCGAAGGCAATCCCTCACACTTAGCATGCGTGTTGCGACAGTGGAGAGGAAAACTCCCTTTTAGCAGGAAGAAACCTCTAGCAGACCAGGCTCAGTGTGAGTGGCCATCTGCTGAGACCGACTGGGGTTCAAGGAGACAGAAGTTCTAGTTCTGGGTGAACAGATTAGGCTGGAACCTGAGTGGTCTGGGAGGTTGATACACTGACAATAAATCTGTTATGTATTTAGGTGCTAATCTATTTATTGATTTATAGATCAGAATGAGCCAGTGGAAGGACTTCAGAACCAGGCTGATGTGTCCTACCTTCTTAGTTCTAGTGAGAACATGGGCAGCATTGTTTTAGATCAGCTGCAGCTGTATGATGGACTTTCTACCCAAACATATGAAGACAATGTTACAAAAATCAATTCTACTAAAGATAAATGCATGAATTAGTTTTTCTAGATCCTGCTTGGACATTAGTCTTTTAATCTTGGAGATGTTCTCCAGGTGATAAAAGGCTGGCTTAGTAACTGCCTTTATGTGCCTCTGAAGGTTCAGGTCTGAGTCCATCATGAGACCAAAATTTCGGCCACAATCAGTAGTTTCTAGCTATAGTAGCTGAAGCTGTGCGCTTACTCTAGATCTCTCTTCCTTTGGTCCGAAGATAGATCAGAAGAAAATTATTACCTCAGTTTTGTTTTTATTAAGTTGTAGAAAATGATGGTGCATCCGCATACTGATCTGTTCTAAGCATCTAATCCACGCACTGATGGGTTCATAGTCACCTGGTGACATTGTGATGTAAAGCTGTCTGTCGTCTGCATAGTTATGGTAACTGATCTGGTTGTTTGCTATAATCTGTACCAAGGGGCCCATGTAGATGTTGAGTAGGAGGGGCTCTGGAGTGGAGCTTTGAGGAACACCACATGTGAATCTTCTGGTCTCTGGTTTAAAGTTTCCTACTAACACATAGAAGTCTCTGTCCTTCAGGTATGATTTAAACCAGTCCAGTAGTCTACCAGAAAGGCCAACCCAGTTTTCCAGACGCTCTAATAAAATCAAGTGATAAACAGTATCGAATGTTGAACTGAGGTCCAATAATACCAGGACTGTGGTTCTTCCAGAGTCTGAATTTATATTGATGTCATTGAACACCTTAATCAGGGCAGTCTCTGTACCATGCTTGGCATAAAAACCTGGCTGGAAGACATCAAAGCAGCTTGTCATTGTTAAGAAAGCATTTAACTGTTGAAACACAAGTTTTTTTTTATTAATCTTACTGATGAAGGAGATGTTATATATGGGTGTGTAGTTCTGAAGGGCTAGTTTTTTCCAAGCTTCTCTTTTTCAACAATGGTTTGATAATTGCTGATTATTAGCCTCAGGGACAAAACACTCAACATGAGAGATGTGTTTTTGATTTGAATTAAATCAGGCTTAAAATCAGATGAGAGGGTAGCTCTGAGCCAGCTTCCATGTCACAGGATGAAAAAGAACACATACAGTTAGTCACAGTAAGAGAAACAGGACTACACTGAAACATAGGCCAAGTTCCAACATCAATAAACAAAGGTGTTGATGGCAGCAGCTCAGCTGATATTTCTCTCCAGGATGGAGTCACAGCCAAACAGAAACAGCGCAGATGAAGCTACTATGAGAAAAAGCAGAGAGGGCATACCTATAGACACTGAACTAACAAAAACAACAGAATGGGAGAATAGAGATAGAAAGAAGCAGAATCATGAAAAGGGGTCCCAATGTCCTCCAGCAGTCTAAGCCTATAGCAGCATAAGGATAATCTGAGCCACTCTAACTATAATGTTTATCAGAAAGGAAAGTTTCAAGCCTTCCCTTAAAAGTAGACAGGGTCTGACCCAGAGATCGGCCTCCCATTCTACCTTTAGAAATTCTAGGAACCACTAGTAAATCTGCGGATTGAGAGTGAAGTATGTTCCTTATGTTCCTAACTCTGTTAGGAACATAAGGAACAATCAGCTTTATATGTGAGAAGGAGGTTTTTTTTTATTATTGTTTTCTGGATCTAACTGTAAGACAGGAGAGATATGATCCGTCTTCGTAATTTTCATCACAACACTGGCAGCAGCTTATTGGAACAACTGAAGTCTATTAACTAAATATTTTGGACTTCCTGATAGTAAAAAATATAATAGTCCAGCTTTGAAATAACGAATGTGTGGACTAGTTTCTCAGCATCTCCCATGGACAGGATATTTCTTATTTTTACAATGTTCTTTGCAGAGATGTTCTTTCTAAGCAAATATTTTAGGTTATCTAACTGTGATACAGCTGGAAACTAAAGCCTCTTCTTAGCAAGTTGATGTCCCAGAATGTAAAACACTGAATAAAACTCCTTTTTACTTTCATTTTTGTTGTCTTTTTCTTCTCCCCAGAATATGAAGAAGTGGTGAGAATACCTAAAGGATCAGTATTCATCCACATACAGGAGCTCAACATCTCCCTCAACTACCTTGGTGAGTTAAAGTGTATTTCAACAAACACATTTCTGAGAGTCTTATTCAGGTTAAAACTTTTTTGAAACTCTTTTCTTAGTCCTTAACCCTCTTTATGGTGCTAAGTTCTGTATAAGTTTGGAAAGTAGTAGACACTGCAAAAAGCTGGAGGCTTGTCACCGATTGGATAGCAACTAGAGGGGGTTAGGTGTTTAAGGATATTCCAACAGATTAGAAGAGACATCAGCTTGAATAAGTAACATCTGGTTGAATTATCCAAACAGAGCTCAAAGATAATGCATGAATGCTGACTGTTCGGCCGGGGTGGTTGCCTATAGGCCTCAAAATAGGGCGAAACAACAGAAGTATAACAGAAGACAGTGTTGGTAGCTGAAAGCTGCCAGGTCCAGGTAGACCAGTACCTGGGCTAAAGTTCGGAAGCAGCAGCAGTATAAAGTTACAGTCACAGGCATTTCCACATTAAGAATTTTTTTTTATTTCATGATGTTTTTCTAAAGTCTAAATCTAACTGTAACTTTACCTTCTAACTAGGGATGCACGATATAATCGGCCCCCTATCGGTATCGGC